AGCACTGTTGAGCATCTTTTCATGTGCCTGTTGGCCATCTGCATGTCCTCTTTGGCAAAATGCCAAATATTCAGCTCTTCTGCCCATTTAGTTGGATTGTTTGTGTTTTTCTGATGTTGAGTTTTATGAGCTGTTTATATAAGTCGGATATTAACCTCTTATGAACTATCATTTGCAAATATTTCCATTGACAGAAATGAAAAGACAACCTACTAAATGGGAGAAAATCTCTGCTCTTTCTTTCAAGTTACTCACTGAAAGGGAGGCCTGTTTCTCTCTCTCCCTGCCCTCCTCTGCATCTTACGGGCTACCTGCCCAAGACCTCCCATGCACCTTCCTGCTAAGCTCAACTTCCCCCACAGTGGGTATCACGGTCTAAATTGGTGGAAACTCATAGAAGAGCCTGAATTTTCTACAATACAGTTTAGAGATGAAGAGAGCTAACATCGTAATCTTTTAAAGTCTTATTATGGGAAATTTCAAACACATACAAAAACAATCAGAATAGTAAAATGAAACCTTCATTTGCCTTCCACCCAACTTCAGCAGCTTATGGCCAACCTCATGTCAGAGTTGTATTTTAATTCTCATCTGATTCCTTAAATCTATTCTCAGTTGTCTAAAAACCTGAGGGAAGGATTAATGATTAACTGGCCTCTCAGCCTTCTAACGAGGAAGATTAAATGAGAGAATGTAAGTGAAGGTCACCTGGAACATGATAAGTTTACAAAAAATATTAGCATTAGTAATGATGATGTGCCATCAGTAGAGTGGAAAGCAAGTTTTGACCAAGATGACATAGACTGGAATAATGAGGATCACTCTCCTCATTCGATTATCTGCTAGTTTGTCAAGAACTTACAACACTGAGGGCACTAGAAACTCACTGGATGAAAAATCAGGAGACCTTACTTACTGTCAAATTCACCTGCAGGCTTTTCTTTAAATCATGTCCTTCTCTCTGACCTTAGTCACTTACCTCCAGCCTGAGTCGCTGTGACACCATGCCTATGTCAATGCTGACAAACACCACTCGATTGGACCCATCGGGTTCCGCCATGACGAACGCACGACTGTACAACCTCGTGAGGAGGCCCTGTGCAGTCTGGCCAGTCTTGCTGTAGCCCATCTAAAGAGGAAGACAGAATCATAGCCACTCCTTCTCAGTCCCCTGCTATTATACCACCAGGCACAGACATACAACAGTAAACCACTTAGGAAAGGCCAAGAAAACAATCCACATAGCACTGTGGCTCTGAATGAGGCAGTATAAATAAAGAATAAAGCCAACATCACAAAACAGGCTTAACTCTTCTGTGTAGAAAAATACAAAGGCAAAGCAATGCTCAGGTTGGCAGAAGCTATCCACTGGCCCGTAGGCAAGAAAGGAACTGGTGTCTCAGGAATTCTGTGACTCTACTGGAGACCTTTCAGGGCTTTTTTGTTCTTTGAAAGAAAACCTTTTCTCCAGCTTATCTGAGGGACTGCAGAAGCAAATACTTCCCCACATTCCCAGGAATACCCTGCAGACTGGAGCTCCCCTGACTGGTTGTTTGGTGTGTGATTTTTTTTTATGAAGCAAATAGTTTCTTTATGACTAACTAATCCTTATTAAGGGTGTCTCACCCTGGCTTTTACGACGTCGTCTCTCCCTCAGCCAAGTCAGACGACTACACCTACAGCCCACCTATATGAGACACACGCAGGCCTTCAGAGTGGTCCCTCTCCTGCCTGCCTTACCCTTCACGTGAGTCTTCATTTAAGGTTTACATCCCAGAGTCACTTTTCAGAACAGACAACAGGGAATAACTCCTAGAAACTAAAGACTACTTGGTAGGAGGGAGAAAAATGCCATCAGGCAACCTCATGCTCTGATTTTCTAGGGAAGGGCTGATAGAAACGGATATGTCGACCATCAGAGCCAAGAAGTTGAAGCCAGCGGCCAGTAGGTCACACCTGACCCACAGGAGAGTTTTACTTGGCTAATGCAGTGTTGGACCATACTAGGTTTCCAGGTTTAACTGAAGTTGCTTACATTTTCCAGCTGAGAGATTTAAATCCTCAGATCTTCAATCCAAAAATTGTCTTGCTTGTCTTGAAAAAACAGAGTTAGGGCAGCCCTAGGTACACACTCTTATATGGTAACAATCAGCTAAAGCCATGCAACTTTCCAGTTGCACTTTAGTCCCCATCACTTTCTATTGCCCCCCAAACTGAGGATTTACTAGACATTTAATACCTTACACGGGTCTGTCAGTTATTTATGGTACATGCCTATCCCTTGTAGTATTTTGATTTGCGCCCTCTGCCACTTCCACTCATAAAAAAAATGGCCAAATGATGTTACAAGGGAGTTGTGGTTAAATAAAAGTTCTCCTCTTCCTTATAGTATGATATGCATAATGTTAGAAGGCAGTGAATTCAGTAAGAAAGATTATGACATAATAATTAGGAATAAATGCAGGGTGCAAAAATAAATAATAAAGTTACTTGTTTTGCAGTCTCCTTGAGGATCTCGTAATTTACCCACCAAACTGATATCTGCTACTTGTCCTGTGCAGTCAGCTCGCCCAACGCCAATGTGGTAGCCGCTGAAGTTCTGAAACAGAGTCGGCTCTGGGGTGCTGGGGGTTGGAGACGCCAGAGTGGGTGTGGGGCCCTGGGCAAGGGTTGTTGAGCCTTGAGGGGCCGTGGAGCCCTCGGTGGCCGGAGAGCTCTGAGTGGTCAGCAAGCCTGAATCTAAATAGAGAATAGGATTGTTGTAGAAATAACATTTCCGCCCACTGATTTGTTGGCATCAATTACAACACACAGATTCAGGTTCCTAAGGAAGAATATTCACTTTTATTTAAGATATATGATGAAAAACATCTCAGGAACTTATTTTGTATCATAATTCTGAGGAGGATCTTTATCTTGGACTGGAGATGTTCAGCCCCACAGTCAAGGTCTCTGTCAAATGTCCTTCGACTTCTCACAAGCCATTCCTCGTCAAACCCATCACCCTTCATTCACTTACCCTGTACTTCTATTCCAGCCAGACGAATCAGGTGCCAGGTTCCTGGCACACAGTCTACTAAGCCCAGCCTCTGGGGATTTGCTCCTACCAATCTCTCCATCCAGAGACCTTATTCCTTTCTGGTCCACTGATCAATCTCCATCAGAGCTGGTTCATTTCCATCACACCCAGATCCAGCTCCACCTCACCTCTCCAGGATGCTGCCCCAGCTGTCTCTATCCTTCTCTGATCCTCCTCAACCTCCTGAAAAAATTTATTCTCCATGCAACCTAGATCACTGTACACTTGTTAACATAGTTCCACCTTATTTTAATTATTATCATGTCACCGTATATACATAGGTTTGTGTAACATATATATTTCATATTAATATCTCACAGACACACACACGAGTGTCAAGGGAGGCAGAATGGCACAGAAACTAAGAGGGCAGGTATCAGAAACAGTCTGTGTCTGAAAACTGACTCCACCTGACTTTACTAGCTGAACAAATGACTTACCCTACTTTACCCCAATTTTTCTCATGTATACCATGAAGATGTAATACCCTACTTCCTAGGCTGGTTTGAACAATAAGTATGTTAATACATATTCAAAATTTAGAACAATGACTGGCATATAGCTTTGATTTTATTTACATATTTAGACATCTTACATATACATTGTATTTGTTTCTTTGTTTCCACCCTAGACAATAGCCAGGGGTGGCCAAGGCAACAAATGTGGGTGTCACAGGCAACAAATGTGGGTGTCACAATGTATTAGTGTCAGAATGTACTAAGGCAAGAGATAAATAGTAAACTCCTTCTGGGATCCTAGAATTTGGGAGCTCAAGAAAACTTAGAAATCACATAGTCTAATCTCTTCCATTTTATATATAAGAAAACTGAAACACAGAGAAATGACTTAACCAAGAATTCATGCAGAACGTATGATGAATCAAGTGCCCAACCCAGACCCTTCAACTCAGAATCTGATGCTCTTTCATCCACATTCTTAGTATAGTTAGAATCCATGTTTTCTCATCCCCAATCACATTTTCCACAAGACATCAGTATTGCAAGGAAAGAAATAGGGACCTTTGCTATTGCCTCATTCTTATCAACACAGGAATGTAGCACCACCCAAAGCCAGATCTAATCACATAGTCAAGGGGATACTCTCTAATCTCAGAGTCTCAGTTTCCACATCTATAAAACGATACTAAGACTAGCATCTACCTTTATGGGAGTTTTGTGAGAATTAAATGAGAAATTTATGTAGAACTTATTATAATGCTTAACACAAAGTAACTTTTCAATTAACAGAGAATTCAACTATGAGAATAGTTACTATAATTATTAACAACCTCCCTCAGTCTCAGGCTCTTGATTTTCTAATTTTAAGGGCTAAAACTAAGTAAATCCTATGGATTCTTCCATTTCTAATGGGCAAAAATCCACTTGGCCAACTCCCAGAAAAGAGGATTTCTGTTCCTCTGAGTTTGCAGGGAATTCAAAGCATGAGGACAGGTAGAGAATATATTGGAAAAGAGAAGAGGCCACAAAAGAGAAAACTGAGGTGAAAAATGCCACCTCCTTCTCCACTGGGCCTGAGGTCAGCCCTCCCTTTACTTTGGTGGAAGCATTCAATCCCCACCTGGTCTCCCTACTTGTTTATCAGGTATATAACCTGTTATCAAAGTAGAGGCCCCATCAAAGACCCATGAACCCAATATTGCCTGTTAAGTGTAGCCTAGATAGTTTTCAAAACTAAAATAAGGTCTATCATTAAAAAATGAATTAAAAGATGTCTAGAACCCTCCCCCAATTTCCAGTTTCCCTTGAAAACCCAGGAGAGTTGAGTCCATGTGACATCATGACAACAAGCAGCTGGCACTCAGGAGGGGCTGTGGACGGACACCCCATCACCAGAATCATTCCCGCCCCAAGCCTGGTCCACCTCCCCACCCCCTCATTTATGGTACTTCATTGCTCCTCATACGATGTGAGTTCAAAGCCTCCTTCTCTAAAGCTTTTTACAAACTAATTGACACTCAGTGAGTCTTTCATTTTCTTTTTGCCCTCAAAGAAAATGATGCCAGAAAGGAGGCAAAGAGAAAAAGAAGAGGCTAAGGGCAAAAGCTCACATAACTGGGCCTTAAAGAATCCTGAACTGTGCTTAGATCAGTAGAAAAGTGAGACAAATAAGTGCGTGTCAGAATGACTGTCAACTGGCTATTTGAGGGCAAAGGTAAACTTGATAAAAACTGCTATCAATGCAGAAAGGGCAATCAATGTAAAGGGTAGATGACCATCCCAGGCTGCTTAAGTGCACAATGAACTGCCCTGTTATCACCATTATCAGCTGACACTGTTTCTTGGCTTAATCAAGAAATTTCCAGTTTAGGAGTAGCATCCAAAAAAACCCATGACACTTTTACCTTTGTGATTTTCAGTGGTCCCACTGGTGATAAACAAGAGGGTGAGAAGGGCCACTGTGATCCCAGTCATCATCACAAGAAGGAAAATCAGGAATGCTTCTAACGTGGAAAAGATGCGTTTGGCCATTTCTCCTGAGAAGAAGCAGAGATGGATGAAGAAACATGGAAGAGGAAGAAAAAAGACAGAGGTCGCCAACTAAAATACGTATGCGTCAAGCCGTCCAAGGTTAAGATGTCTGGGCTCTTTCATCTGAACAGACTACACCAGGGATGGCAAGTGCAGAGCGCTTGGCGCTGGTTCCACATCCCAAGTCTGTAGAGGACAACACCAATCAATTACAGCATCTTTGATGAGCTCAGATGGCGTTGCCAATTCCTTCTCAGCACGGTACTCATCCTGGAAGCCGGCACTCATCTTCCGGCCTTGGCGACTAAGCTAAAATCTATCTGTATTCTTCAGATGTATCGTAGTGCTTTCATTTATAGCAATGATGCTCTCTGTGCATGGGTGCAGGTTGGAGCACTTCTTTCAGCAGGAATAACTGATGTACCCACACTGCTTGTACTTGTGAGAAAGCTGACTGGGGTTAGGGCTATACTCTGTGGCCATGGAATAAGTAAAATTATCTTGCCCATGTGGAGGTGAAAAACATAACTTTGGCCTTTAAACTTCATATCCTAAGTGGGGTGTGGAGGGTATAGCTCAGTGGTAGAGTGCGTGCTTAGCATGCACAAGGTTCTGGGTTCAATCCCCAGCACCTCCATTAAATCAATCAAATTACCTCCCCTACCAAAAAAAAAAGCAGGGAAAAAAACCCTTCATGTTCTAACTTCCAATTACTACCTGAATAGAATAGGAAATAGCATAGAAAAGGGGACTGGCATGCCCTTGCATTCTACAAAAGCAGAAAATGTCCTTATAGATTCCTTAAAATACATTAGCAGTAGAATTCATCATCACTTAGAGGGACTTTAGAAGCTAAAAATCCACATATTAGAGCAGGAGATAGTATAATATGATGGTTGGAAACTGGATTCTGACGTCTGGTGCCAGAGGTTCAAATCTCATTTCTGCCACTTACTGATGACCTTGGGAAATCATCCCTTAACACTGAGCCTCAGTTTCCCTATCTGTAAATAAGGATATGATGATGATAATTTTAAGTATCTATCTTATAAGTTTTATAAAAATAAGATGAGATGACACAAGAATAATTTATTTGTTCCATGGAATGTAATAAGTGTTTAGAATGTTAGCATTTAGCATTAGGTTCCAAAACAGCGAAGACTCTGTGCTGCTCCCTGTCCTTTAACGGAGTTTACGAGAGACAAATACTAAAGAATTACTGGAATCAGAGGTGGGAACTTCAGAGTCCATCTTCTTAACCTTAAGGAAGCTTAAGCAATAAGCTGTGGAACTGGAATCCCAAGACTTGCCCCTCAAATGGGTAAAATGTGGCTAAGATGCTGCCATCTCCAAGAGTTGTGAAGTGGCAACAAACAGATGTGTTTGGTATGGCCCGATTTTGTTTCAATTTGACTTAGTCAACAAGATAAAAGACAGAACTTACAGTTTATGTGTAAAAATAGAGTCTACATTTACAAATCAAGAATACATTTCAAAATATTTCATAAAATATGGCAACACTGAGCCAGCATCCCCATGTGCCAAGAGGTTTGTAAAACCTAATTACTTTAAGACAATAGACGCTCAGAGAGAAAAAAAAACTTCATAATGGTGAAGATCTTGAGAAGGGATACATTTATTCTCAAAATAGGACAATCTTGTGAGTGGCTGTCTAATTTCCATCTCCATAAAGCTTGACTGTTGCCGTTTATGCAGTAATCACTGGTAGTATAGTTTCTTCTGGTTTAACATGAAGGCTGCCTGTGTGATTGAGATTCCTAGATCCCCTACCTTTATGTGTCTGTTCGTGATGGGCCACCATTATTATATTAACCTGAGGAAGTTTCCATTCCCTGCAACCAGAGGAACCCACCTAAAACAATGTTCTTCTAAACCTCTTTCCATGCATATGTAATGTAAAATTTTCTTTTACAAAATCAGATCATATGATATAAATGTTTCTGTACTGATTGTTTAACAATATATGTTAAATGTCTATCTATAACAACAAATGTTTGTATATAGTAAAAAATATATATATATATAAAACCAAAAACAAACAAAAAAACCTTAGTGGCTTTAGATGGGGCATGCCTTCTCTGACCTGCCACTGTCTCTACCCAGTGGGCCTTATGTAAGTTGCTACCTGGTCTTTGTAGTAATTTTATTTTTGCAAACCCTGGACTAAAGGTTAAAAGTCAATCTCCTAGCAAACACTTCAGAGGCAGGGCTGAACTGGGAATAGACAAAGAGCCTGGAACCTCTTCTCAAATTTCCTAGTTATGTGTAGGCTTTCCTCAACCATTTATCACCACCATGATCACCTTCACCACCACCATCAGGGACAACTTCAGATTTAGAGCGAAACAAATTAGTTCTGCGTCTTGATCCCAACTTTCACTGTTAGCCCTGAGTCCGAAAGCGTATCTAAGATATGCCTCTGAATTCTGGATGATTCAAAGAGGTTTACTACTCATTAGCTGTTCTTTCTGTTGCAAATTTCAAACCTCGTATACCTAGTTCTTGCTCAAAGCTTTGGTTTCTATGAGCCTTCCTACTAGCTGAGATAGCTTCTGCACAGAGAAGGCAATTTAAACTGTTTGGCTGGACCTCTCAACTCCAGAGCGTGACATGCACATATGTAAATGTGGCCACTTGGTAAGAGCCTGTGTTACAAATAGACATAATATGAGATATATATGTTTGCGTGAGTGTGTATATATATATATTTTTTTTTCTGCTAGTTTTGCTGTGAACTGATTGCCACCACTGGCCTTTTGCACATGTCAACAATGGCACTTGATTTAACATTAGTTTCCATGTCTTACTTGGATTTTAATAATGTACCTCATGCATTTCACCACTCTATTTAGCTTTCAGAATTACCACCAACAAATTACCATTATTTCTGAACCCATTAGCACTATTACTCATAAGTGATTAAAATCTGAATTTGAGTATGAAAGCAAAGACTTTATCTCCCTTCAGAAGGCAAATGCATCTTGGAGAGCTGAGCCAATAACATTTTAAAGGATCATACATTTCTGAATAGTTCCCACTTACTCTAGTGTAATCCTGCAAGGTCCATGATGGGGCTCTAATGACACAATAGCAAGCCACTTGCCACATCTTTGTCACTCTGAGGTCCCTATTTGTCAAGACTGTGACAGTAAAAAGTAGTATTTTGGCAAAATGGGTTTCCAACGCTAAGAAAACAAGATTTCATCAAGATTTCAGACACAATACAATGATTCAAGAACCCTCCCTTCCTCTCCAAGAAAATATAAGCATTCTTACCTGATTCAAGCACTCAAAAGAGTTTCCGTATCCCAGGAAAGCAAATAACAGCCCAGAATTCTGTTCTCCTTCCCCTGGAAGGTTGCTTGGCTGAGACTTTTCAGCACTTTCTGAAATCTACTGAGGAAAGATTTTCACAGTCATGTCCAGAAGAGTTCAAGTTCTCATTAGCATACCTCTGTGGGCTCAGTACATGGATTGAGATTAAAGGGTATTGATAACAAATGGCTTATTAGCAAACTCTCTCCTGTGACTGCCTGATAGTGAGGTAGAAGTTGCAGTAGGCCTGCTGGGCTGAAGGTCACTTCAGATCTTAACACAGCCCTTTCAGTACGTCAAGTTCTGTGTGATGTCTACAATCTGGATCACAAAAAAAGAGCACCTGCTTTACTTACCACTTGGTCACTTAGTCAGCAATCAAGAGGGAGTGATAATGTATGCTGGACATTAGTGTGGGCTGTGGGTCCCCTAGGGCAATGTTTATAACAATTTCAGAACAGAAAAGTGATTTTAATTTTTACATTCTCATGAACAAAAAGAATGCAAAGCTTTAGATGAAGAATGTGAATAATGAATATATAGCAGGAAGAGAATGTGTGTATCCATTCAAAACTATATTGAAGGGTAACCAAGACATGGAAACAATCTAAATGTCCATCAACAGATGACTGGATAAAGAAGCTGTGATATATTTATACAATGAAATACTACTCAGCCACAAAAAAGAATAAAATAATGCCATTCGCAGCAATATGGATGGACCTGGAGATCATCATTCTAAGGGCAATAAGCCAAAGAGAGAAAGAAAAATACCATATGATATCATTCACATGCTAAGAGTGATATCATTCACTTGGAGAATCTAAAAAAGAGAAAAGACACTAATGAACTCATTTACAAAACAGAAATAGACTCACAGACATAGAAAACAAACTTATGGTTACTGGGGGCTAGGGGTAAGAAGGGTGGGAAAGAATAAATTGGGAGTTCAAGATTTGTAGATACTAACTACTGTATATAAAATAGATATACAAGTTTCTTCTGTATAGCACAGGGAACTATATCCAATATCTTATAGTAATCTATAATGAAAAAGAATATGAAAAGTAATATATATATATGTATATATATGACTGAAACATTATGCTGTACACCAGACATTGACACACTGTAACTGACTATACTTCAATAAAAACCATATTAAAGGAAATAATTTAATGGCAAAAAATTACTAAATGTTGTTTTAAGTTTACAAAAATGGGATCATAATGTTTTGTAAAGTAAACATTATTTATATGTGTGTGATCATAAAGGCTGTAAGAAAGCGCAGAAAAAAAATGTTAAGAAGCAGTTATCTGGTGATAAGATTATGGGTGAATTTTGTTTTCATCTTTTTGATTCTTGGCATTTTCTGTAATAGCCATATAGCATTTTTGTAATGGGGAAAATAACATGTTTTCCCTCATCTCGAAGAATATATACTGTATAACAGCATGAAGTTAAGCAATGGCCCATGAGAAACAGAGAAAGAAGCAGACCGAAAAAGAGAGAGGGCCCAGATAAATAAAACCAGAAATGAAAAAGGAGAAGTAACAACTGGTACCACAGAAATACAAAGGGTCATAAGAGAGTACTATGAACTATTATACACCAATAAAATGGACAACCTAGAAGAAATGGACAAATGCCTAGAAAAGCATCATCTCCCAAGACTGAACCAAGAAGAAATCGAAAATATGAACAGACCAGTAATGAAACTGCATCAGTAATAACACAATTCCCAACAAACAAAAGTCCAGGACCAGATGGCTTCACGGATGAATTCAACTAAACATTTGCAGACGAGACAACACCTATCCTTTCCAAACTATTACAAAAAATAGTCCACTTTTCAAATTCATTCTGTGAAGCCAGCATCACCCAGATACTAAAACCAGACAAAGACATTAAGAAAAAGAAAGTTTCAGTCCAGTACCACTGATGAATATAGATGTAAAAATCCTCCCCCAAATATGAGCAACCCAAATTCAACAATGCTTTAAGAGCATTGTGCACCATGAACAAGTGGGATTTATCCCAGGGATACAAAGATAGTTCCATACCCATAAAATCAGTGTGATGTACCACATTAACTAATTGAAGGATAAAAATTGTATTATCATCTCAAGAGATGCAGAAACAGCTTCAGACAAAATTCAACATCCAATATGATAAAAAAAAAAGTTTCTCAACAAAGTGAGTATAGAGGAACATTCCTCAACATGCTAAAGGCCATGTATGAGAAGCTGACAAATAACATCATATTCAATGGTGAAAAGTTGAAAGTGTCCTCTAAGATCAAGTCAAGACAAGGATGCCCACACTCACACTTTCATTCAACATAGCAATTGAAGTCCTAGTCACATCAATCAGACATAAAAAGAAATAAAGGAAATCCAAATTGGAAAGGAAGAAATAAAACTGTTACTCTTTGCAGATGATAGGACACTATACGTAGAAAATCCAAAAGATGTCATCAAAAAACTACTAGAGCTCATCAATAAATTCAGTGAAGGTGCAGGATACAGAAGTGATATACATAAATCTGTTGCCTCTCTATACACTAACAAGAAAATATCAGGAGTAATAAAGAAAACAATCCCATTCACAAATGCATCATCAAGAATAAAATACTAGGAGTAAGTCTAACTAAGGAGGTAAGAGACTTGTACTTGGAAAACTGTAAGACACTGATGAGAGAAACTGAAGATGACATAAACAGATGGAAAGATGTACTGTATTCATGGATGGGAAGAATTAACATAGTTTAAATGCCCTTGCCTTGGGCGGTAGGGTCCATACTGCCCAAGGCAATCTGCAGATTTGACACAATTCCTATCAAGATACCAATGGCATTTTCCACAAAACTAGAACGAATAATTCTATAATTTATAGGGAAGTATGTAAAAGACCCAGAATAGCCAAAACAATATTGAGAAAGAAGAACAAAGCTGGAGGTATTATGATCCCATATTTCACACTATACCACATAGCTGCAGTAATCAAAACAGTACAGTACTGGCACAAAAACAGACACGCAGATCAACGGAACAGAATAGAGAGCCCAGAGATGAACCCATACCTACACGGGCAATTAATCTATGACAAAAGAGGCAAGAACACACAAAGGGAAAGACACAGCCTCTTCAACAAATGGAGTTGGGAAAACTGGACAGCTACATGCAAAAGCATCAAACTGGACCACTCTCTCACATCGTGCACACACACACAAAAGTCAAAATGGATTGAAGACTTAAACATAAGACCTGAAACCATAATATTTCTAAAAGAACACATAGGCGGTTCTCTCTCTGACATCTTCTTAATATTTTTTTGGATATGTCCCCTCAGGCAAGGGAAGTAAAAGTAAAAAGAAACAAAAAAAAAAAGTAAAAAGTAAAAGTAAAAAGAAACAAAAAAAAACAAACACTAAAATGTTCTTGCACAGTGAAGGAAACTGTCAACAAAACGAAAAGGCCACCTTCTGAATGTGAGAAGATACTTGCAAGTGATATATCCAACAAGGGGTAAATATCAAAAAGTATACAAAGAACTCATACAACTCAACTTCAATAAAACAAACAATATGATTAAAAAATGGGCAGAGGATCTGAATAGACATTTTTCCAAGGAAGACATACAGATGGCCAACAGGCACATGAAAGAAAAATGCTGAACATCACTGATCATCAGGGAAATGCAAGTCAAAACAATAAGCCTCACTTCACACCTGTCAAAACAGCTATTATCAAAAAGAAAACAAATAACAAGGGTTGATGAGGATGCGGAGAAAAGGGAACCCTTACGCATTATTGGTTGGAATGTAAATTGGTGCAGATACTATCAAAAACAACATGGAGAGTCCCGCCAAAAATTCAAAATAGAACTAACACATAATCCAGTAATTCCACTTCTGGGTATTTACCTGAAGATGAATGGATAAAGAAGACATGATATGGAGATACAGATATAGATATATAATGGAATATTTCTCATACAAAAAAGAATGAAATCTTGCCATTTGTGACAATATGAATGGAGTTAGACGGCATTATGCTAAGTGAAATAAGTCTGACAGAGGAAGACAAATACTGCATGATTTCACTTATATGTTGAATCTTTAAAAGGAAACCAAATGAACAGACATAATACAGAAACAGAGTTATAGACACAGAGAACATATAGGTGGTTGTCAGAGCAGAAAAGAGCAGGAGAGGAAAGAAATATGCAAGAGAGATTAGGAGGTACAAACTTGCAGATACAAAATAAGTGAGTCACGGGTATGAAATTTACAGTGTGGGAAATATAGTCAATAACTATGTAATATCTTTGTGTGGTGACATGTGGTAATTAGACCTATTGTGGTGATCATTTTAAAATGCATAGAAATATCAAATCACTATGTTGTGTAACAGTAACAAACATAGTATTGTAACTTAGCTATACTTCAAAAAACAAAACAAACAAACAAACAAACACGTAGGAAAAGAGATCAGATTTGTGGTTACCAGAGGCGGGGGTCAGGGGAGGGGGAATTAAATGAAGGTGATCAAAAGGTACAAACTTCCAGTTGTAAGATAAGTAAGTGCTAAGGATCGAGCGTACAACATGATAAATATAATAACACTGCTGTGTGCTATATATGAAAGTTGTTAAGAGTAAATCCTGAGTTCTCATCACCAGAAAAATTTTTCTGTACTTTTAAAATTTAGTATTCGTATGAGATGATGGACATTCACTAAACTTATCGTGAATCATTTCATGGTGTACGTATAACAAATCATTATGCTGTACACCTTAAACTTACACAGGGTTCTAAGTCAATTGTATCTCAATGAAACTGGAAGAGAAAGAGAAAATTAAATAAGAAAAAAGGGGAAAAGAGTTAACTTGGGAAAGCCGTATTATTGATGAGGGACAGTTTCTCACAATCAAAGTATTGTAGCCAATAAATGAGGAAGGAATGACAAACTTAGAATCTAAATGCTTTGCAAACCTCTAATGAAATGATGGGTATAGGCGACCATCACCAACAGCTGGGCTGATTACGTCGCCAGGAGAGAGTCAACCAGATACTG